CACTTGAGAATTTGGCCCTGTATTTTGGTTAGGATTTACTGTAATCCTGCCTGCTACAATAGACGAGCGCTTATCCTGTCATCCTGTGTTGTGATTTGGTTCTTTTTTTAGCTCTCATCAGCACATATGTGGGAAATACTTTTTCATGTAGAAGACACCGGCACCCAACAAAGGCTGTTACAGCCTTCGCTGTGCCATCACGGCTTTGTGGTTGGGCTTTGGACAGTTTCTTTGTTCTGCCCTTTCCGCTAGGCTGGAAGTTTTTTTACATGCCTTTGGGCAATGAAAACACACCGTGTCTGGGTTTTGCCATAGGCCTGTTGAGTTTGCATTTAGAGACACTTCCAGGCGCTTGCAGTGCAGGAACAGGAACGGGAGCTGGTCAGACTAATCAAGGGTGACAAAAGCCACACCTAAAGAAATGACTGTATTTGGCAATAATTAGAATCCTAGAACGGTTTGGGTTGGAAAGGACCTTAAAGATCCAGTTCCAACCCCCTGCCCTGGGCAGGGACACCTCCCACCAGACCAGGTCGCTCCCAGCCCCATCCAACCTGGCCTTGAGCACTGCCAGGGAGGGGGCAGCCACAGCTTCTCTGGGCAGCCTGTGCCAGGGCCTCACCGCCCTCACAGGGAAGAATTTCTTCCTTATATATCTAAGTAATCAGGATCGACTCAGGGTTTAGATTTCCAAATTAGTCTGGAGGAGGATGTAAGATGAATGTTTTCTGCTAGGGGTCTTCTTGCTGTTGACCTGCTGGTCACCAGAGACCTGGTCTGTGATCCTGGGTCTCTTGGGGTGGTAAAACACAGGGGAAGTCTGCTGTGGATGGCTTTGAGGCTGGCTGATAGTTTGGCCATTAAACTTTGTGAGAATGACTGGCTGCTGCACTCCTGACCGTACTATGTGAAACACCTAATTTAGATGGACAATACATTGTGCAAGGCAAGGATGAAGTGCGAGAGGAGCTGGAGGCGGCTCATCTTCTTTGGAAGTAAAAAGCAAAGACAAATCCTTTATGGCTGTTGAGGGTGAGCTCTTGAAGACTAACTTCAGTCCCTTCCAGCCACAACTATCCAGGTGGTTTGAGGGCAGGGGGTTTATAACAAGGCTAAAGCCTGGTTTGCCTGATTGATTTTACACTTCAAAAATTCTTGTACGTGGTCTCCTACACACTTACAGTTAGGTAAGGGCAACTGACTTTTGTCTGAAAGTCTTCTGTCTAATTTTAGTGTAATTTAAACAAAGAGAAATTCCTTTCTGTGGAAGCCCTGCAAGCATAATGGCAACGTGCTTCTCCCTCTGTGTCTGCCCAGAAGTCACTGGTTTTATGCGAACTTCCAGTAATCCAAATCCCAAATTTATAGCCATTCATCTATAAAAGTTTTCTTGTCTAATTATTACAAGACTATACATACAGCTTCATTAAAACTATAGCAAAGAGCAAGCAAGGAAGGTCCTAAATGATGCCTATAGAGAAAGAAAGATGTACAGCAGTACCAGAGAGAAAGGCAGGGGCTGGAGTTCCTGTTCCAACAAAATTACTTCTTCAGTGCTGAAAGAAGCTGTCATTTTCACTAAATTTTCACCTCAGCAAAAAAAAAACTTGTAGAAAATGCTTGGAAAGGTGTCCCTAATGTAGAAGAAAGAGGTTTATGGGTGAGCAGAAGAGCGGACAGGCAGCTCACAGCAGCCGTGCAGCAGCAGGTTGGAAACTGGAGGCTCAAATGGTTAGAGAGAGAAGTTGTGGGAGTAATAACGGCAGCAGATGGATAATGCCAGCGGTTCACAAACTCATGCTGGTGTGTGGCTGAATTATCCTCGATCCCCCAAACAAACCAAACCATGGAAACTCCTCCAGCTGATGGAGAATTTAGATAAACTTTAGTGTCATAAATCACTGTAGCCTTGTGGATACATAACACACACCTGGAAATCAAAGGTGTTTTCTTAGGAATAGAATAGAATAGTCTAGGACAGGATGATTTCAGTTGGAAGGGACCTTCATCTAGTCCAGCTGCCTGACCACTTCGGGGCTGACTGAAAGTTAAAGCATGTTGTTAAGGGCATCATCCAAATGCCTCCAGCCATCGGCTGTTGCTGGAGGAGAAGAGACAGAAAGCAGATCTGGGATTTGGGTCGGTTTGCCGTACGTCCACCTTTCTTGCAAAGTTTCCCCTTCCCCACCCGCCCCCAAGTCCCTGATGGTTCAATAGAAGGTGATGAATTATCCTCCCTCGCTGGGTGCTATTTCAAGTTTCCTTCCTCACTCAGAGCCATCAGGAGGAGCTCTGCCTCTCCGCTTCCTGATGGGCTCCCTTTTGCATTGTTTTCCCAGCTGCTCCCATCCCCTGGCATTTAGTGTCAGCTGGGGATGCTGCAGAGTAGCTGGGAAGGAAAACAGAGCTGAAGGACTACAGTGGTCATTAAGAAAAATAACAGCTTGGGGAGTGCAGGCTGAAAAAAATGTAATTATGAAGCTGTTCGCTATTCAAGCGGAGACAACTTGCAGTGCTGATAACATTATTTACCACTTGCACAGCACTCCAGACACAGTCACTAATTAATCCTTGTGACACATCTGGAAGTTATGCCAGTGTACTACTGCCCTCCTCCCACTTTTACTGTGCAAGGAAGCAGAGACGTTAAGAGCCCAAACAAGAAGTAAAGGTCAAAGCGAGCTCTAAAGCAGGGAGATGCTCCGTCCCAGCTCACTGCTTGCATCCTGAAGGGCACGTTTCTTCTGTAGGACGGTGGAGATCTCTGCAAAGGGCATCCTTTACCCCACCCACTACGACCATGAGCCTGCACAACATAAATCATGTGAAAAAGGGAAAAATGGCTCAATGTAGTTGGACAAACTCACTGTACAAGGGTAGCAGACACCTTTGTTTAACCCAGCGATGTCCATCCCTCGGGGAGCAGGGCAGGTGGCTGCTCTCAGCCTCCCAGGGCAGAGCTGCCCCGGGGTTTTCTGCCACCGGGGCAGACTGCTCTGCCCGCTGGAGAGGAGACCTTTTTGTCCCTCCACAGCTGTGAGAACCAAAACCAGACTGCTGGCAAAGGGGAACAAGGCAACGTGTCATCTTGTCACTCAGGGTAATACTATTTGAGTGGAAGTACTGCCAAAAATAGGCAAGAAAACCAGGGGAGAAAACACAAACCACTTGGGAGCCTGTTTGAGCACCCTGGCAGTCAGCGAGCCCTGCCTTCCAGAATTAGCCTCTTCTATTTCATAGAGGGAGCTGGTTCTTTCTTCATTCAATTTGTGTTAAGCTTTTTCTTCTAATGGCAGACCCTAGCCAGCAGAAGCAAAGGAGATGCAACCTAGACGAGGGTGCTGGTTTAAGCTGGAGTCATCTGAGCAGCGGCTCTTAGCCATCACTGAAACTGTTCGTGATTTCTCGAAGCAGAACAGCTCATTCCTAGAACACCCTCGTTTCACACATCCCTGACACAGCAGAAGAGAGTTCACATGGGTACCAGCAAGGCCACAAAAGCTGCTGTAACACACCAGATCTTCAAGAGCTTGTGTGAGGGATGTGCATGGGCAGCTAAGGGCTGGAAGTTTCCTCTCGGCCTCTCACCGGTAGGAAGCTGCCTGCAGCGTGAGACCCCTGGCTGAACCCCGGGTTTATCAGCAGCTACAGCTTGCTCCAGAGAGCCCTGCTTGGAGGTCCCTCGCCTCAGCGACCTGCTGCAGCGTTGAGCTCTGCAGCCTCATTTGAAGCTTCTCCTTCAACACCTCGTGTCTGCTACCACGGGGTTCATTTGAGTGAGCTTTGCTGCTGCTTCGATACCCCTAGACTGGCAGCTCCCAATTTCATCTTTTGTTCCTGGGTAAACGATCATAGCCTCTTCCATTTCTTTTCAAATCAGTTTTTCTGTGTCCTTAATGATGCTTAGCGCTTATTGTTGAATACTTTTCGATTTGCTTTAAAGTCTTTTTATATGCCTATCCGTTTGTCTGACCACACATGCTCTAGAAAGACATTTCTGCAGAAGCTGCCAGTATTTAAATCCAAATTTACTTGCACGTTAAACAAAAACATGCTTGAAAAATTATTCACAACTTCTATTTTTTATTGTAGACCCAAGAATCCAATTGGCTGGTAAGTATAATTCTGATTTGACACTTGATACTCATGAATTTATGCCTTTTATCAGCCACCTTGTCCCTCTTCGTTAATGACTTTTTGCTTAAACATCTCTAGTTTTTGGCACGCTCTCTCCTTCCATTTGGAAGAGGCTTACTCCTCTTCTCTTCCTAGTTGGGCACACGCTGCATAGTGAAAATATTAAGCCTGTTATTAGAATATTTCTGTCTGTACTTCTGAGTGGCAGGGCCTCTCCTTCACTGATGGTGACTGTCAAAGGCAATGTATGACCCAGAGCTAAGGAAACCAGCCCCTGTAAAGTGTAGTGCAACTTGTGGTAGAACTGAGATGCAGAGAGTGAGAGAGGGGACATGCTGCCAAAAATAGGGAAGGAAACGAGGGGAGAAACCCAGAGACCCTCGAGAGCCAGATCTTGACCCTACGAGAAACAGAACTGACTCCTGTTTGGCTTCTAGCCATTTTCAACAATAGAAGACATACGTTTTCTTCCTAAGCACCATTCAAAAGTAATGACAGCATATTGGTTAAAAAAATCAACCTTGGGACGAAACCGGCCATATTAACAAAACTAATCAGCACTCACTGGAATAAATTGACCCTGTCATCCTCCCCCTCGCCCTGCCAGACCGTGTGCTGCTGCTTTTTCATTTGTTTCTACTCAACGGCAGCAAATGACTTTCTCTCCACGCTGCCACCAGCCCCTTCAGCCAGTGCCTCACCGTTACAGCGGCTGTTGGACCGAAAACCACCGATCGGACTTCCCAGGTGATCACACTTGTTGTCACACCTGCTTAAATGCCACCTGGCCACCAAGAGAACAGCTCTTTACCTGGGGGATGGCTAAGGGAGCTCGGACTCGATGCACAACGAACAGTACTTACTTCTGGCCCCAGTTTCTCCAGGAGGTGGTGAAAAAAATCATCGAGCTCCTTCCCTTCTATGTAACCGTTGTCTAAATAAAAGTCAAATATGTCCAAGGTCAGGGGGCACTGCCTGAGTTCGGGGAGCCATGTCATGGGCTGCGTGCAGGGAGCCCGTGGCTGCGTGGTGGGGGTCTCAGCTGGGGGCCTCGCCTGCCCCTTCGGGGGGTTTTCTATTCGGTTGGATTAGTTCACGCCTATGGGGGTGCTGGGCGCAGCGTTGCGGAGCTCCCTGGGGGGGTTTTCCTTCCAGAAAACTTTTCAGGAAAAAAACCCCAACCCACCAACTGGGACCACAAGAGGGAACGGGGAGGTGATGAAGAGGAAAAAAAACTGTGAAAAGGGGGATTTTCAGACCCGCTATCAGGGCATGAGGAGGGGGAAG